CCAAGCCCCTAGAAACATGCTACATGTTCTACTAATTGTTTAATTGACATACCTATACTGGAATGGGTTTTATGAGTTCTTTGAGTATGTTTAGTACATCCTCACAATAAATTATAAAAAGGAGAGCAACCAAGAGAGAATAAATTTCGTGTAAACAAGCTATGGTCTATAACTTTTATCTACTCACTTTTTTTGAATTATGATAGTTTTTAGTTTTATCCTGTGTCAAACTTTTTAAAGCTTGATTAAGTGCATAGAAAAATATACCAATGTTTACACTATCAAATACGGTATACTCTAAAGATATACATTATGGCCGACTTAATAACACTAGTTTGGCGCTAAGATTTTTAATACATATTTCCGTAAATTTTGTCAAACTATTATAAATTTGAAACAAAGGAGGTAGTAACCTTTCCCATTTGTTGTAATGACTATATGACCCATTACCTCAATTGGGAAAATAGGGAGTTATGCCAGTATTTATTTCCACAATAGAATGTGATCTAATCCTAAGATCACTACCTAAATGTAAAAAATAGGGCAAGCTAATCTGTTTGGACCTCTAAGTGCAGAACCTTCGTGTGGGGTACTATGGTTTGTGAACGAGATCACACTTGGGAGTTGTGTATTGGCTATTTCCGCCTTCCACCACCCTTATATACATATTAGTATGCCTCGCAAGATTAAGAGGGTTTCAAACGTGGTCACACTTGGGAATTTGTCTACCCATCAGTAGGAGAAAGCCTGTCGGCAGGGGTGTGAAATTGGCCCTTAGTGGCGTTTATTGGACACGCCACTGTTTATGAGCCACTCATAATTGTTTGTGGTGTCATGCAACACTGCACGCCACTGGTAAGAAGTAGCTAGTGGAGTGCACCACCGCACGCCACCGTAGCAAAAGGATGGCGTGTCAAAGTGCATGCCACCCGTAACTTCATCGCCCGTGAAACACAAATCCGTCGTCGGGGATCACCGCCAGTACGGGTAGCTTCAATAATACATCCATCTGAAATGTGTTTAAATAGCGGCAGGATTATGAATTTAACTAAGATACCAATTTTTTCGTTCATTTTAGATATCATTTACAAAGTAACCAAAATTAAACCCTAACCTAAACCCTAGTCTTAACATAATCTAAGTGGTGCATTTGCCTCCGGCCGAGAGGAACTTGGTTGCTGCTTGGTAGTGGCTGAGATGGAGGTTGCGGCGCAGCGACTACCAAAGCTGCACCAACGACGCCTCGGCGGCCAGCTGCATGCCACGTCCAGCGCTCTTGTCCCACCTGCTTCCTCCTCTTCTACCTAGCTAGGCGACAAGCGGAGACCGAGGTGGTCAGTGGAGCGATCACGGTGTCGGTGCTAAATCCAACATATCTCGAGGCAGGAGTCCTAAGGTAAGCTTCTTGGAGCGATGGTAATATGGACACATGATTCACTCAGATTTGGGCTCTCTCGAGGAGATAATACCCTACGTCCTGCTTTTGATTATATTGATATGGGCATCGTACAAAGTACATGTACCTACCACGAGATTGTTCTAATGAATATGAGATTCGATGATCTATCAACTAACCTAGCCTCGGCTTATATAATATACCGGAGACCTTGGATAACAGGAGTCCTAGCCGGCTACGCCGGTGGAGAGGAGTCCTTGTCTTGAGCAGCAAGTCTTGTGGGATTTTCCTCAGATATGTCATGGGCTATCCGAAGTGGCACAGTGATGAACCACCATGGGGGTCCTCGGCCCGACCCACCTGGCCGGGAAACGAAGTGGTGAGTACACCCTAGTCCAAGACTCCACCAGTAGCCCCTTGAACCGGTCTTCAAATTGGGGACGCTCCTCAGTTCTTCTGAACTGTCCTTCGTCTCCAGTCATCAGTCTTGAAAGCTGGTTCGACAAATCTTTCCATCTCCAATCTCGAGGATCGCCGAGGTGTATCCAAAGAGTTCACACGTCGGGTATCCGAGGAGTTCACACGTCAGGCATCCAAGGAGCCCCTTTTAGTTCATGGCTTTTATCAATGCCTTGTTATTTTTTACTCCACACCTTGGGTTCAAAGTGTTTCCCGAGCGGCGGTGTCTTCTTGCATCTGAGCTCCAACACCAGACCGCATCCGAGGTGTCCTTTTGCAGCCGATCTCCAACGCTGGTCGGCATCCGAGGTGTCATAGATTACCTCGGTCCTGAAAAGGTTGAAGAAGTTTAGCCGAGCTTAATACCGAAATTTTCCTCTAGGGAGCCATCCACTCGCATCCAAAATTTATGCCGTACTACTTCCAAGGTGGTGCACCACCTCGGCCTTTTTGTGGTTTTTTTATCGGTGTGATTTATTCTCTACCGAGATGTATAACTAGTAGCCCTCAAGGTGTGTGCCGGCCTAAAATGCGAGATGCACCTGAAGGATACGATAAAAACTTTTGATCCCAGTATCCTCTAAGACTCAGGCCGATTTCACGAAATCTGCCTAAGGAACAAGTCTTTACTCGACATCATACTTAGATACTTAGGAAAGGAAACACAGTGCGCAATAGCTCCTAAGACCCAGGTTGGATGCGGTCGACTGAACTGAGGATCTTAATCTCCTTGGAAACTCTATTGCACTTTAAATTTCTGTATGAATACACAATGCATTAGCCCCCGAGACTTGGGTTGGGCCACATGGCAGACCGTGCGGGATGGAAAAGATTTCCCAAGATGAACCATCACGCGGGACACCTCGATCAACAGGATGTTCTGCCATATGAAAGAAAATCATAAAATAGGTTAACGGTGCCAAAAGCTCGGAAAACCAAAAAACTCATGTGAACACTTTACGTCTGAATTGAATCAAGTTTTTTGGTGCTAACCAAAATAGGGCTTAAAATTAATTTGTGCTTTCATCATGCTTTAACATGACACATCCGATCTCTAGAGTTCAAGTGGGTCAGCACTTGGCTTCAACCTCCCTTCCCGAAGGTGGACTGCTTCCATGCCAGTTTAGCGAAGTAGACTCGAGCAGCTTTAGAGTGAAACCAGGCCATTTGTCTATTGACCATACACACGGGGCGAAAAAAGAGTGTTAGAAAAAGATTTTGCAATGACTAAGAAGAAAACATTTATTATAAAACGGCTCATATAAATTTAAGAGCCACCAGTTAATATGGGAAAAAGAAGAGTTTTTCACAAACTACGTTTTTAAGAAACAAAGTTTTAACAAACAATTTTTTGTTTACCAAAAATATAACGCAGGGTCAAATCGAACAAAAATTAAAAATTGAAAAAAGTTGATCATGAAAGCGACTTAGTTGGTGAATATGCCCGGTGTTGATGACGTGGTCCGAGTTTGCGATGGGGCGAGGTCACAACCCCAAGGCGGTCCTGAGGTGCCCGAGCCAAGAGGTCGACTTGATGATGTGACAGCACAACACTACCGATATGTCGAGCCGAAGCCCCCAGTCCAGCCAAGGTGATGAAGCAAGTCGGCAGGGTGACGCCGGAGTTCCCTAAATAGGTCGATGAAGCGATGGCGAAGCCCTCGGTCCCTCCCAGGTGACGAAGCGGGTCGGTGTGGTGATGTCGGAGCCCCCATGCAAGTCGGTGTGTCGAAGCAGGTCGGCGAGGTGGACATCGGCTCGATGAGGCGATGCCGAAGCATGCCGAAATTTGTGACGTGGTTGATGCCAGCTTGAAGGATTAACAGTGCAGCGATGACGACGCGACCGACCTATGCACTCCTCAGGGCAATGATGTTGTCTTGGTGATGATTTAGGTTTTGCAATGCCAACCTCTATGTTTCGCTCTCCGAGGTGGTGATCGTCAGCTCGATGAAGCGCCAACGCAGTTGATGCTCGTGCTAGTCGGCATCCGTGCAGCAACGTGGTCGGACTGGTTTGACACCGACATGACAGTGAAGATAAATCGTATACCAGCGACATGACCCCATGTGCCCAAACACGCCACTATATATTCGTTGGTGAGGGGCACATGGGGCACGTCGCTGATATACGATTAGCAGCGGCACGCCGTTGGTATTACCAGTGGCGCGTTTTATGTCAAACCCCACGGATGCTTGGTCTCCTATAAGGGTATTTTCTACTAGTGACCCCTTTGACTGGGGTTGAAAGGGGGTTGACCAGTGGATTTTCTTATGCTTTGTTTATGTTGGGGTAGGTCATAGGAACATGAAAAATCAAATTTGAGAGCAAGTTCTCACAAGATTCCCTCTAGTGGCCTCGAGGTGGGGGTTTCACCATCTATCCGCTACACATTTCTGCGGGATAGTGCGGTTTGTGAATGAGCTCACAATGTGAGTTGTGCATTAGCTTTTTCCACCTTCCACCACACCCTTACATACACAAGTTAGGACCCAACACACGACTCTGAGGGGCTCCAACACCTCTTCATCCCGACAACAGCCATACCAAGCCCTGACCCATGGGCCCCATGCCGTCAACCCTTTTGACCGGCGTCAAAAAAGGGATTGAGCAATGGACTTTTCTACTTTCCGTGTTGAAACATGGAACCAAATTTGAGTCCAAGTTCTCACAAGATTCCATAAGGCGGCCTTGTGGTGAGGGTTTCTCCCTTAAGTGAGAATCTTTTATGGTGTGGTGTGGTTAGTGAACGAGGTCACACTTGGGGGTTGTGTATTTGCTATTTAGACTTTCCACCACCCTTACATACATATGTTAGGACCCCACGTAATATTCGATGTGTTTCCGACACCTCCTCGCCCCGACAATGGACAAACACTAACCCGGGGCCAATAAGATTCCCTTCCGGTGTCGTTGAAGTGTGAGTTTAGCCCTATAAGTGATTTCATGCACAAATTTCCCATTTTATTTATTTATTTATTTGCCTTTGGTTGAATTCAACATTCGGTCAAAACTTTGAGGAGTGTGCTGAGCGAAACACACTCGGCAAAGCTTCTGATTCCGCCGTATTTTATGTGTGTTGAGTGTAACACTCAGCAAAGTTTCTGATTTGCTGAGCACTATTTGTTTGCTGACTCTTATAATCAACAAAGGGAAGTAGCCTTTGTTGTTTGCTGAGTTACGAAGATAATATAGTCGGCAAAGCGTTGGATACACAACGATGTTGAGTTTTCCGTAGTGATTCCTCAGAGAAGAACACGGGAATAAAAAAACATGGATCTGGTCGACAAGATTTTAGGCTAAATGAATGTAATATCGAGTCGAAGTAGTGCTTAAATAAATTATTTCTTCTTAAAAAGTCCACACTGCACTTGTAAATCAGGGGTTAGATTTTAATTTGTACTAGTCACCTCCAGTTGGTAGTAAAAGTACGATCAAAATAGCCTTATTTTCATAGGATAGGAAAGTAATATATGTATGATAGACATAGTCGGGTCCTATAAAAACGTACTCCCTCCGTTTCTAAAGATAAGTCTTTTTAGAGATTTTAATATGGACTACATACGGATGTATATATACATATTTTGGAGTGTAGTTTCATTCATTTTGCTTCGTATAAACTCCATATTGAAATCTATAAAATGATTTATATTTAGGAAAGGAGGGAGAGTATTTGCCTTGTTTGTTGTACATAGCTTAACGGTGGTGAGTAGATTTATCATCCGGAACTACGTGTAGGGATGCTTTGGAGTAATTAACTCTGGCTTGTAGTAAGATAGCGTTGGGCTGTTTGTGTTTTGTAATTCAAAGGCGTCAGCAGGAGGAATTCAGTGTTGCATGTTAATTCACACACCGCTCTAATGCATGGTGCTGACAGGACCACACAATCTTGGAGTAATTAACTGTGCTGTTGCATTGCATATGTTGGTGCAGCTGGAAGTACTACTATCCATATTGCGAAGATTCGAAGAGCACTCCGCATGGTCGAAGAAGAACGATTCACACCATTCAGGGTGCGGATCGGCCCTTACCATGAAGCGTCAATGGTGCAACCCTCGGAAAACAATCCCCATGATAAAAAGGGGAAAGAAGTCATGGAAAACGAGCAGAATAAGAGCGTCTTGGTCGACAGGTTAGTGAGTGTGCTTCTTGAGCAACCTGGAGAGCTGGAGAATCTGATGGCAAGGGCGATGGAATGCTACGCAGAAAAAAAGGGGAAACAACCATGTGATAACGAACTACGTATCACAGAGCAGGAGAAGAGCGTCTTCGTCGACAGTTTTTTGAGTTTGACTTTCGAGGATAGGAAGGAGGAAGCCCCGCAATTGACTCTCCAAGAGCACAAGGCTCAGGTAATCGAAGATCTGAAGAACCTGAAGACGATGAAATGCTACGCTGGTAATCCGAGAGCTGAAGAAACTGAAGAAGCCTTCGCGGATATGATGATGCGCGACGGGATATATGTTCTCTGTTTACTTGTGGACATGATAGAAACATCCCCTGGAGAAGGAGACGTTCGCCCGGACGAGATTGATTTGTTACGGGACGTGGTGTTCCTCATTGAGAATCAGATACCTTGGATCGTCCTCAAGGAGTTGCAAAGGCTAGCTGGCTACAGCAACGAGCCAGGCCTCCTCTGCACACGTGTCCGGGATCTGCTGGCCGAAGGGCGCTACATCACAAAGGCAACGCCGGAGTCGCCAGCAAAAGAACCTGCTCACCTGCTGCACCTGGTGCACACCTACTTCGCCCCACCCAAATCTGGTGTAGCAGCAATTGACATCGTCAAGAACAAGGGAACAGGTGAAATTTTGCATTAGCATATATAGTATATAATTAAATTAGGATGCATTTTTCAACATAATTTTTCTTGTTTTAACAACAGCTACGCGGTGGCACAGGTCCATGGAAACGGGCGACGCTGTACCGCAAGTGCGCCTACGTGGAGTTCAAGCGTCGGGAGTTCGAGGCCGGGGTGGAATCCATCCTTGACGTGAGCCTTCAGGGAGGCACTCTCCTCATCCCTTGCTTGCAGATCGACGGCAACACGTGGACCATCCTACGCAACCTGATGGCGCTGGAGGAGCAGATGTCGGAGAGGCCGGTGACGACATACTGCGTTTTCATGTCGCAGTTGGCACGCCAGGCTGAGGACGTCGAGTTCCTCGAGCATGAAGGTATCATCATTAATTTCCTGGGCAGCAACGAGGTGGTCGTAAAAGGCTTCTCCAACCTCTGTGAGGGAGTGATCACCGACAAGCCAAGCTACCTCTACGACATTTGGCACACGCTGGACAAGCGCTCCAAGAGTCCATGGAACAAATTCATGGGATCATTCATGGAGAGGAACATGCTCGACAATGTGCAGTTCGTGGCATTCATTGGCGCCGTCATTCTGCTTATTCTTCAAATAGCTCAAGTAATTATTGGGTCCCTCTCCTTAATTAATAAGCAGAAATAGTCGCACAAATTTAGTTCCACGTGTCTGCCCCAGCAGTTTCGGTGGCACGATATGTCGGTCAGTTTGGTGTCAAGTTTCAGTTATCTGAATATAAGCCATGTAGCGTGAGTCGAGTTCACGTTTTTTATTTTTATTTTGCGACTTAGTCTTGTTGAGCTAGCCTCTGTAACCGAGTAAAAATAAAATGAGCGAAAGGTGAAAACCTGTACGTTTAACACAGCGCCAAACACTGTCAATTCCTGTCTTGACTCTTGAGTGATTTTGCAGAGCAACTGGTTGATCGGGTCGAGCTTATTATGGGGTTCTAGGAATTGTGTCCAGTAATAAATTTCCTAACGGAACCATACAAGATTTTTACGGTGAAAAAAATAGACCTACTATGAACCAAAACAAAAACATACATAAAATAAATAGTTGACGGATTATGTTATGCATGTAAGCCTTGAATAATTTTTCTTATTGAAGCCAATCCTTTTCCATCATATGGAATGGACGATGGTACGATAATTGATCAGATCTTGGCCTAAGAAAATCGGTCCTTGTACCAGTGTGTTGACCTAAGTGGGAGGGGCAAAGAAGAAATCAACGGTACCCACTCAAGTTAGGTTCGTTTTAGTTGCAATTTTGTTTGTTAGCCAACCTATCACATGACCACTAGGCCACTTAGTTCATCTCGACTCGATCCCACATTGGCCTAAACAACTAGACCAACTCAATGATAACAAGAGATAATGAGTTTATCTAAATCGTTCTACCAAAGTGATTGAACATACCATGCTAGCTAGTAAGAAAGTGGTAGATCAATAGTCGAACTTAGCCGGCGCTCAATGCTTGCACGGCGTGGCCTGCCTCCGGTGCTCCTAATTAGTTGGCTAGTTGGTGTAGGCGTAGTGCTGGTCGTTGGAAACGTGTTGTGTTTGCTCCAGTTGTTGCCATTGTGTTGTTCTACCTAGCACCTTGTATCTTCTTTCCGCTTTGCTTTGCTTTGCATTCATTTCCTTTGTAATGTGACGCCTCTATAATCCTGGCTGGTTGATGGCTCTGTTGATTCAAATCCGGGCTAGGTTCGCGCTCTTCTCGGACTCGGCCGGCACCTTTTATCTAAAAAAAACTTACCCGGAAAGCCCTTACTAGCATTAAAGACAATGTCAAACAACATTCATTTCACACAATATTCCCCAAGCAAAGTTGCATGAATGCATGATGATTCACAGTAGAAAGTTCTACATGAAAGGTTGCCACTTTTATTACCCAACAAGTAAAGGAAATAAGTGAGGTTCTATAGAAAAGACTGCTGCTCTACCCTATACAAGTAAATTCTACAAACATGGCAGGCACCAGCCCCTGTTCGGCTGGTGGTTCGGGTTCCAGCCACCAACCGGGACTAGAGCGCCTCGCTCCTGGCGCAACCCCTTTAGTCCCGATTGGTGTCTAGAACCGGGACTAAAGGCCAGTCTTCAGTCCCGGTTCTAGACGTCAACCGGGATTAAAAAAAAGTGCCTATATATATATATAAAATGTTGTCAGTGTCTTAGAATAATCTCATACATAATCAAGATTCATGTGTGTCGATTTATAAAATGGGTGCAATTAACCTCCAAGTTCCTCGTTGCACTGTAATGAAACAAAAGCACCGAAAATTAAACCCATCAAAGATTGACACCCTGAAGAGGATCAGATTTCACCTCTTTGCAAATGGAAATAAATCTAACTGGAAATTGGTACTAACCTTCCCGCAAAAAAAAGGAAATTGGTACTCCCTCTGTAACTAATATAAGAGCGTTTAGATTACTAAAATAGTGATCTAAACACTCTTATATTAGTTTATGGAGGGAGTACTAACCAAGCATTGCTCCGAACAGCATCAAACAAGAAAAATTAAACTACAGTGTATTCAGATAAATAATCAATGTTACTCATGCAATCGGCTGAAGATATAATAGCTGGAGTCTAACTACCTGAGTTTGCTTCTAAAAATTGTGTGGAAAAGAAAACAATTAAAGAAATGTAGTGTTCTCAGCTGTCACCTAGAAGTACATGGGACTGAAATATGGTGATAACATCAGTTCCATGGTTCAATTGGTTATATGGTGTAAGCCTGAAGAAACAATATGGCATTCACATTACTCCGACTAGAATCACGACTAATATCAATATTCATACTCTCCCAACCTGACTTAAAAAACAGTAACAGAACCAGAACTTCCAAAAGCATTGCATATCTAATACAAATCAGAACATTCAGAAGTCCATGGCTGTACAACCTTATAAACCGTGTATTTTAGTTGAGGGAAGTATCATTAGTTGGCCTAGCTTTGAGTAGCTGCAAATAGAGTTTTTTCCATGAAAATTGATCTTCTTCTACAAGTAATTGACAAAGCATTGTAAAAACTCATGACTCACTTATGTCAAATCGAGCTATTACTAGTGGTGCCAACTAAGCTAGTGATGAAGTGATTCCTGAAATAGGAGTATGCAAGAACAATAACTGAAATAGTTTTCCAACATAAAGCAACTCCCTATTTTTTTCGAGAAAACGCAAAAGAGTTTACGTTTCATTTCATTGAATAGGAAGAGAACAGCAGTACAGGTACAACCTCCCAAGAGGAGGGACACACGCACACACATCATCGTCCTCACCAAACGAGCAGGCGAGGAGGTGCTACCAACTACAGACTGCAACTACGAAAGGTCTAGCCTTGTCCAGCCTCCAACCATGAACGGCGAGGTAACTAGACTCAGAGCCTCAAGGCCGCGTCACAGCCGTTGCCAGGCGCCTCCAAAGAAGACCGCATCTCCAGGGCTGTCCAGGCCAACGTACCTTCCACCCATAAGTGCCTAAGAGACGGCAAATGGATGGCAGGACCCAACCAGGACTAGTGAAGCCATCGTCTTGGACATGCCGGCACCGGCGTACATAGCGCCCCGGACGCCCACGCTCTATGCCGAAGCCCTCATCACAGCATCGCATTACCAGCAAGCCTCGCCGGAAGACCGAGGAGGCCACCATCTCCAGCTGCCGCATCGGGGACTCCAAGTGCGACCCAAACAATGCCTTCAAGAAAGGAATGGCGCTGAGACGCCACCGCTGCCTTGTCCAATGAACTGGACCAAGGGTTTCCCCCGGTGCTCGAGGAGAGGGTCAGTCCGGGCCATGACAGCGCCTCCATGGAGGTTACGGCACCCTCAGTTGTCGCCGTTGTCAGCGCAGGCCATCGCCGCGCAGGGATTTCGCCCCGGCCCAAGACCAGAACCCCAAATACCGTCGCAGCAGAGCAGACAGGAGACGGGGAAGCAGACCGCCGGAGAGGAGCATCAGCACCGAGAGGGATACCACGTGTCATCACCATCGATGTAGGGAAGCACCGGCCAGCGCAGAGCAGCAGCCGCCAGATGGCTGCCAAACAAGGCCAGCCACCGCAGGGGGTCGCGTCGAGCAGGGGTAGTGGCTCCGTCGCGGGGACCTGCCACCTGCACCTTGCTGCCGCCGACCATGGCCGCTGCCGCGGTGACCCGCAGCCTCCGCCACCTGGATCCGCCGGGGCACAGCCAAGCAGCCGCAGCCGCACCCCCAAAGGGTCACGCCGCGCCGCCCGCGTGCTCGCCACGCCAGGTCCAGAGGCCCGACCCTCTGGATCTGGGGCCGCCGTTGTGAAACCCTAGGTCCGGAGCATCACGGCTCCGTCAGCCTCGTCGAGCCCCACGATCGAGGGGGGAGGCAGCCTGGGAGCGAAGTCCCGCCGCCGCCGGATCCGCCAGGGCTTTGTCCGGCGGGGAGCACCGGCGGCGGCAGGGGAAGGGGGGAGGAGGAGGGGAGGGAGCGCTCGAGGCTGCGTCGCCTCCCGTGTCGCCCGTGGGAAGGGCGACGCGGGGGAGAGGGGGGCGGCTGATCAAAGCAACTCCCTATGAATGTCTTTCAAGAATGAACGTTTTAACTTAATATCTCTAGTTGCAGAAACATTTGAAGTAGATGAAAGAACGATATATGTGCACCGGAATTAAATTGGATTTGGCTTCTGGTCAAGCTGTCGATGCCTATATCATGCTTCCTAGCTCTGAATCTCGATTTCAGAATGGTGAGTTTCCTCTTACATTATTAAATTCGATACAGTAACAGATTCATCTCTTTGTTCTAATCCTCACTTCCATATATATATTTCAAAAGGACACTCCGGCTGACTCCATTACCATTAATAATGAAACAAAAGTAGTTCAACAAAGAATGCAGGGCACCTGAATCTATCCATCAAGATGAATGCGAGAAAACAAATTACTACTAGTCAGACCCAGGCGCCATGCATGAAGGGTCAAAAACAGTGGTTTATAATGTTTGCCTAAAAGCGAAAATACAAAGGTGAACATGAGTGCGCGCGCACCCACATGAATAGTAAATTCATAAAAAATACTAGAAAAATTTAAAAAATTCTGAAATTTTGCCGTATGAACCTTAGACGATCATCCTACTCACGTGTGAAGTTTCATGATATATTTACACCTGTGGTATTCTTAATGAAGAAAATACAAATGCGACCATACTATTCATTAAACAGTGTTTTTTAATATAGCTTCGATTACCTTCGATTTTGTCATTTTTGCCAAGATTATCACGGATGTGATTTCTTCGTGAAACTTCATATGCGAGTATACCGGTTGACTATGTATATTAAAAAAATAAATTCAGATTTTTTTGATTTTTGCTAGCATTTTTTGAATTGGCTATTCATAAAGGGTGTGCGCGCACCCATGTTCACCAAATCCGCGTCCGCCTAAAAGAAACTACTAGACAGGAGACTTGAATCTACGGTATGTGTTTATAATGTTCGCCAAATTTTTTTACTGCCCATCAGGCATGATCAATGCATATACTTGACCAGTTGCTACTTAAAACACCAAAACTTGATATTATTTTTATTCGCGTGAAACTTAAATCACAATCTGAATATTAAACTTGTAATTTGGCTATGCCCAAAACAATTAAAGTTGGTGTGAAACAAAAACTG